GTGATGGTAAGCTTTAGCATATGATGATTAGATTTAGGTTTTGAAGTTAGCAGTCTAGTTTTTCCCTCATCTAACTTGATGACTAGACTTAACTGTCTGATTTACACTCAGTTATGTTATCTTTACCGGGTAACAGTTGTGCCTCTGGTAATTTTTCCTTGTCTTTGTATATCTCGGCTGTCCAATTTTAACTCGGCTATGTCATCTTTGTTGGGCAGAATTTGTGTTTGTGTTAGTGGATGCATGATTTATAGCAAAGGGTGCTGCAGTGTTGGTTGTGTTTATGAGAATCCTGACTTCTTGTTGATTTTTACACAGTCTTCCTATTGTTTTGAGTGATTATGAAGAGCCTTTCAAAAGTTTAAAGAATCCTCGCATATTGTGAAAGTTCTAGGAAGAACTTTAAACTTGGTATAGAACATTTACATTATGTGAACTTTCACATGTATAAAAGTGAACTTTGATTTTCATACATGGGTCTGTAGGGAACAAATGGTGTGTATTCTATGGCATCAAGGGACTTCTTGCGATTTGTAAGATTTCTAATATATACTCAAGGTTTACTTTTTTCAACATGTTATTCATTTTTCTAAATGTGTTCCTAGAGTCATAACATAGTTATTTTCTTTAATGTTGCTGAATATAAACCTCCGAATCAGGGCTCCTCTGAAATGGAACACATTCGTGGTAAACTGATGCCTGGCACCAGAACTCTGATCCTTTTAAAACCTTGACACGCTGAAGGACGTTTGGCATGCTTATGAAAGTGTGACATGGCTCATTTGCTACAAATGTCACATATCTCATGGGCATTTTGAATAAGAGCTTTTAAAATCCCAGCAGCACATCATGACTGCAAGGCCAGCCAGGCTGGGTTTTAGCAAGGCTGCCACAGTTTGTCACTGCACCATCACAGAAATGAGAAAAGTCACTGTCCACATTAGTAGAAACCCTCCATCTTGCTGCTGTACAGGTAGTGACTGAGGTTGCACAGTTTGTGTTAATTATTTTTAGTCCCTCATCAATGGTCAGTTTCTGACTACAAAGCTGCTCTTGTTTGGATATTATTTAGTGGCGGTCCACTGTCAACCTGGTAGTAACACTGACATGTTTAAAAACCCCAGAAACACTGCTGTGTCAGATACACTCATACCAGCACCACCCTCACTATCATAAACACCAGTATGAACACTGTCATGAACACCAGCATGAACACCATCATAACACTACCTTGAACATTACCGTGAACACCAGCATGAGCACTACCATGAGCACTACCTTGAACACTACCATGAACACCAACATAAACACCATCATCTACTATGAACATAACCATGACCACCACCATTAACTCTACCATGAACACCACCATGAACACTACCAAGAACACCACTATGAACACCATCATAAACATTACCTTGAACTCTACCATGAACTCAACTTCTTTAGACATACTAGAAATATCAATGTTATTTTATGATTAGTATCACCTTGATTAGAGTCATAAATGCACATTTTGGAATGAAAGAGTACACTCTTAAAAAAGATACTAAAAAAAGAAAGTTTTTTAGTAAAGAAAATGGTTCTGTATAGAACCTTGAACACTCCAAGAACCCTTTGCCTAATTAAAGGGTTCTTTGCATCTTGAAAGTGTTCTTCAGACTGATGGAGAGTGTGCTGTGTACTGTACTTTGTACTGAACTGTGGTGATGTCTGTAACATGAGATTAGCAAGAAATTCAGCTCCCGTATGTCATTTTATGCGGGTCTTGTGTCCGAGTCACACAATGTAACTCACTCACTGATCAGATGGAGAAACAAGAACTCCCAGATGCCACCCATGCTGGTGTCATTTGAGAGGGCACTCAAGCCATGATGGTAATGTGTCTAGCAGTTCATGTAAGTTTATACCCCACCAGTTAGCACTGTGCTAACTGCATGTTGTAGTCATTACACTTCACACATTTGTCAAACTAATTTCTGATAGACCTGCTTAAGTGGTTTTGGACATACTGTTATCTAGAAATATGGACTAAATTATGTGACATAACTAAAAATAGTTAAAGTCCACTTGTGTACATTAAAGGAATAATTGGAATTAGATGGCCAACCTATCTGATAAACACTAGAAGTCAATAGTCACCCAAATCTTTTCTGTAAATACTTCTTCTCAACTGGTTAGAGCAGCTTAAGAGAGGTTTTAGTAATGTATTTGTATTAACGACTTGGGTAACTATTGACTTCTGGTGTTAGCAACGTTAGCCTTGTAGCTACAGCAATAAAATAAAAAAGCAAGATATGGACACCAGGCATGACTTGGCTGATTGACTACATCAAGGGTAAATTTGGAAATCATGTGAAAAAAAAGGGGGGGGGGTGAGCAGGATCAGGAGAGAGAGAGAGAGAGAGAGAGAGAGAGAGAGAGAGAGAGAGAGAAAGAGAGAGAGAGAGAGAGAGATAGATGGGTGAGAGATGGAGGGAGGAATCAGAAAGGTGGCAGAGAGAGAGAGAGATAAGGAAGAAGAGAGTGAGAGAGAGAGAAGGAATAAGAAAGGTGGGAGGGAGGGAGAGAAAGAGAGAGATAAGGAAGAAGAGAGAGATAAGGAAGAAAAGAGAGAGAGAGAGAAGGAATAAGAAAGGTTGGAGGAAGAGAGAGAGAGAGAGATAAGGAAGAAGAGAGAGATAAGGAAGAAAAGAGAGAGAGAGAGAGAGAAGGAATAAGAAAGGCGGGAGGGAGAGAGAGCGATATAAGGAAGAAGAGAGATAAGGAAGAAAAGAGAGAAAGAGAGACAGAGAGAGAGAGAGAGAGAGAGAGAGAGAGAGAGAGAGAGACAGAGAGAGAAAGAGAGAGAGACAGGGAGACAGAGAGACAGAGAGAGAGACAGAGAGAGAGAGACAGAGAGAGAGACAGAGAGAGAGAGAGAGAGAGAGAGAGAGAGAGAGACAGAGATAGAGAGAGAGAGAGAGAGAGAGAGACAGAGATAGAGAGAGAGAGGGAGAGAGAGGTGGTGATGTTCTTAACCGGCTCTGCTGACATTCACTCTGATTGAAACCTACTTTGTCAGAGAATCTGAGCCGAGATTAAACCGAAAACTCCGCATTCTGTTCAGAAGAAACGTCTCTCTCCGTCTCTCTCAGTCTCCCTCCGTCTCCCTCCGTCTCTGTCCATCTCTCTCATGAATTGAATCACTGCCTTTTCATTTAATCGTGCCATGCTTGGAGCATTCTGGGTAATAAGACCAAAGAGTCAATTCCGATTTAGCGGCTTGTGCTTCTAAGTGAAGTCCTGCAGTGAGCCGACAGGATTTCACCGTTTAATAACGAAACGAAGCGAAACGGAGGAAACACACAGGTGGCCCGAGCAGAGACCTCACCACCACAGCCTGGAGGAGCCAGCTTTGACTGTTCTAATCATTAATCCTTTAACACTTGTTTGTTATAGACACATTTCATCCATTTAATAAGCAGTAAATTTTGTTATAGCCTTATTAATGGACCAAATAAACTTCATCAGAATATATATTTATTACTTTCAATTTAAATCCAGTACTATGATTTCTATCATGTCAACAAAAAGTAAAAATCATGTGAAAATCAACAAGAAAATCACATCATTTCCTCACACAGTCTCTGATTTTCATAATCAATGTCAAGCGAGAGCAGCAGTGGCTGCATGTTCCAATCATTGGAATATATTGGAATATATATATATATATATATATATATATATATATATATATATATATTTACTCATAGATTCTTGCTACAGTGGAGGCTCTCGAGGGGAACTAGACCTCCACTCTGCTGTTATTGCATTTTACTGAACTAAAGTATAATGTAGTATGGAACTCTTTACGGAGGCCCTCAAGGGACATGGTGTATTTGTGTTTAGGTAAAAATCTGGTGTGAAGATACTTTCAGGTGCGTACCAGATACTATCAAGTGAGCACCAAATACTATCAAGTGAGCACCTGATACTATCAAGTGCGCACCCAGTACTATCAAGTGAGCACCCGATGCTATCAAGTAAGCACCAGAGACTATGTGGTGGGCACCCAGTACTATCAGGTGAGCACCAGATACCATCAACTGAGCACCCAATACTATCAAGCAAACACCAGAAATCATGTGGTGAGAACCCAATACTATGTGGTGAGCACCCGATACTATCAAATGAGCACCCAGTACTATCAACTGAGCACCCAATACTATCAGGTGAGCACCAGATACTAAAAGAAAAAAATACAAAATGTCTTCAAGTTCAAGTGAAAAGATAACGTTTGCTCTATGCAAAACAGATAAACAATTCCATCGGGTGGGGTACTTTCCATTTTGGTGCTCACATGATAGTATCGGGTGCTCACTTGATAACATCTGGTGCGCACAAGATTTTTACCTGAAAAAAAATACACGTCCCTTTTACCTAAATAAACACACTACATCCCTTCAGGGCCTCCGTAGTTTTCCCTTGCAAGAGGTGGTTTATTTTCACTGCGTGTAACATTCTCTCTGCTCTCATGACACTTAATTGAAGTTTCTTAGGGGCTTTTCAGCCATGCTAACTTACGTTACACCCATGGCTTAATAACAGGCTTGTTGTTCATCAGACGCTGTTAACAAGCACACCATCACCCCCTTCTTTCAGCTCTGTCTTCACAAAGCATTGGATTCAGATTGGATTCACATTTAGTTCGTTTCCACCTTAATAAGTCTATGTTCCTGCCTAAAAAATATCAGGGGTGTCCCCAGACATTACCATATCATGCAAGACTATGCTTCAGCCTGCACAACTAAAGGCAGGTTGAAGGGCCAAACTAGCATAACACATTAATGACGATTTACTACATCAGCTCATGTCTAAGGCCTTCGTGAGGCTGAAGTGGGCACGCTCAAGCAAGAAAATAATAAAATCTGCAGCACTTGGACAAAGATTTCAGCACAGTCTGGATCAAGACGGAGGAAACCCTGAAACAGTTTCAAACAAGAAAAAGGTTTACTAACCTGCCACCATCTGTAGGTGTCATCAGTGATCTCAGCGTTTGTCCTGGACAGCAGCGGTTGGACAGAATGGTTGAGTTTGTCGCTGAACCAGGTGTCGTCTTCTGGCTCCGTGATGCAGCTACGGCAGGCGCAAGGTCCCGCTGGGATGGCCAGGGACCGCCCAAAGAAGAAAGAGGGATCGGGGAGGGTGCAGCTGAAGAGAAATGTGGAGAAGGAAATGATGCAGACGAGCACGCCCAGGGCACGTGTCTTCCTCCACTTCAGGCACTTCATCTTCAAGCTTGAGAACTACCAAAGTAGCTGGAAACAGTCAAACTTTCTGCCTTGTTCTTCAACCAAAACCGTGTGACGCTATGCTCTCCTGTACATACCCACATTGTACGGATGGCTTCCCGAATGGAAGTCAAAAAACAGTTGCAGAAACATCGGAAACAAACGTTGATCTCTTAAAAGTCCTTTGTTTACAGGTACCACAGTTCATCCTCACTCATTGCTTTGCTATGATGATAGTAATACAGCAGAATGTATTACAGAAACTATATGATCTGTTTCAGGTGTCAAGTCTGAGTTTGTTTTTTCTCCTTGCACTTTGCGACAGCTCTGCGATAAAGTGTCCAGGTTAATCAGTTGAGTTCAACACTTATTTCTTACGAGTGAACTTAGCAGAGGCTTTAATTAAACCTGCTTTTCGAGTGGGTGTCAGCTGAGTTCATTGGCGCTGGAGAGTCTCAGTATTCATCACTGCTTCTTAATGTGAAGAAGCGAGCGCAGGAGGGTCAAGCGTTTCAGGATGGAGGGAAGCGTCAGCCTTTTCCGCTCAGGCTGTTGACTTAATGGGGTCAGCGCGGCGTCTGCCCATGTCTGCGCAACTGTCCACCTAGGAGGCAAACAGAAGGAGGGTTTAGACTAACTCACACAATTAATTATGTTCTACAGCATTCTCTCCCTCTCCTTCATCCCCTCAGTGAAGGTCACTCTCCTCGTATGTGCCAGAGATGGTTTTGCCTGGACGCAGTAAGAAACCATCAGGTTAGATGAAGAATCTGAATCTTTCACTGGATATTTTGAGGTTGTAAATGACTTTCATTGGGCAGGTACCTCTGGTTGCCTAAGCAGTCTTATACTAATTGCAGCTTTAGATGCTATTGGCTATAGTCTTTATCAACATTACACAATACATTACAACAATACATTACACAGGAGACAGCAACAAAGAACATTACTGTTAGATATTTGTGGGCAGTACATTCAAAGACAAAGGAAACTGTGAAAACAAAGTCTTTAAGAAAAACAATGAAAACTAGAGGAGCTCAAAAGCTTGTAGCATTGACAAAACGTAGACACTACTGATATGGCAGTGAAAATGGTTCCGCTCATCTGACTGGATGGAAAAAGTGTGCAACACTGGGAAAATATACTTCACTTGTGGTGTTCCCCAGGGGTTAGTCCTGGGTCCTATTCTATTCATTAATTTTATGTATCTTTAGGGTAATATTTCAGCTGCATGGCATCTTTCCTCATTATTACTCTACAGCTTGCTTTATCACGGTCTACCTGATGCCTTGTGTACATTTAAAGTCTTTTGAACAACTCTGAAGACTGTTACTTTTTCAACAAAGGGTGTAGGAGCGAGTTTGACACTGCGGGGACCTGTGCTTCTATGAATCTGCCACTGAAGTCACAGAGCTGAATAGCTGCTGAAAAACAGTTATGAAGGGGACTCAAGAGGCTTGTGAGAAACTATTATTTCTGTATATTGATCTGAGAAACAGGTATTGAACAGTAAGTCAGCTTCTATTTGCCAGCTTCTTGTTAGAATTTTCCCATTCCACAGCAGGTATTAGCACCAGAATGTAACCGATGCACCATTTAAGGTGGAACGAGCATTCAAACTAGAAGCTGGCGAATAGGAAGCCGACTTCAGCCTCATTGTTATCTGTGGTGAAAATCAAGCCAATATGTAACGTTACTGTTCTGTGTCAGGTGTACAACTTAGAACATGTAAAAATTGCAGAAAAAAGTTTGATTTTATGCAGTGAAGTGAACTGTTTACTGTGAATTCTCAGGCTAATGGTGATGCTAATGATGCACTGCTTACATTTAATACAGAAAGGTAAATGTTAGGGTAAATGGAACAACGACTAAATTAAATTTTTTAAACATTACAGATATCCTGAGGTAAACCGGCACTAATCCCAAATAGCCCTTAAGGCTAATCTTAAAAAACAAAAACCAACCAAAAAAAAACCTCATTCACATTGTGTCCTGTGTTGGTTTTATTATTCATTAATTTACTTATCTTTGGTGGCATTACACTAAAATGAGACGATAAACCAATTCACGTCAAGGTTAACAGTGTTCTAGAGTTACAAGACTGAGACAAGACTAACATTAACGTTAGACGGTGAGGCGACTTTACAAACTACACTACTAAAGGCCCTACTAATGGAGGTGTACTATTATTTTACATATTATTTAGTGCGGCAGTATGCAGTCTGGGATGCGGCCAGACCGAAAATGTGTGCAACACTGGGAAAATATACTTCACTTGCGGTGTTCCCCAGGGGTTAGTCTTGGGTCCTGTTTTATTCATTATTTGATGGCTTCGTTAAAGTAATATTTCAGCAGCATCATATCGTTCCTCATTGCTAATCTACAGCTTGCAGAGGCTAACATTACCTGAAGTTTCAGGGTGTTTTTTGATGACTTGAGCAGAGTTAATAGTAACATTAGCTAACACAAACCCTCCTAATACTGTAACAAGAAGTTATACACAAGCTGTCTTCATAGCTATAATTAGCTGCCATTGGTATTTGTTGTGCTTTCATTACTGACCTTAAGTTCAAAGGTGGTGAAAGCTAACCTCACTACCAACGAGACACTCTGATGAAGTCAATGCTGAGGCCAGTGAAGCTGGTGATTGGAGGATATTTCTTTAAGCAAAAAGCTCTTTTTTTTTGAACAGGCACCTCAACAAAAGCCTTAATAGAGGCTAAAAGAAGACCCAGTGCCACCCAAAACACAACATAGCATCAAATAGGAAGGTTGTCCCTCTTTCAAAAGGTTTTTTCCTCCCCCACGGTATCATTTTTGGGTACAATCCTCTATTAACTTATCGGTTATCAATTCTCCGTAAGACTATAGTAGTTCAACAGTGCTGGCCATCGTGCTGTATTTTTGTGTGAAAGCATTGAGGATACTTTCCCAAAAGCACTGCAATCTTAACCATTACAGTGTTTAATGTGATAATCACTGCTTCTGAAGCTTCTGGACACATCTCTGATTGACCAGGTGGAGCACTTGCTGGGTCTGCCTGGATATCCTGCTGTAGCTACTGGTTAAGTTCTACTTGTTCATTAATGAGAGGGTTTATACTTCACATATTACCGTCTGGTAAGAAAATCTGGATATTCAAGCTCAGAATAATTTGCAAGGTATTGTTTCTAGAGCCGCAGAGATAATTGGAACATCCCTCCCTTCAGCTGATTCTATTTATATTCAGCACAATAAAGGGATAATTTAGGAGCCCCCTCTTCTAGCTTGACGTCTTTTTAGGAGGTGCCACAACACTGTATACCTCGCTCCTATACAAAAACCAAGACAACACAGTTCAAGAATGTTTACCATAATGCTGTAGGGCCATATTACTGCATATTACAATGAGCTTTTCAACTGTTTTACATACAGAAACCTGGCTTCAGAGAGGCACAACTATCTAACTGCCTTCTGAGTGGGAACTCTGGCAACGCCACTGAGTAGGGTCGATGTCCACCGATATTACTGACCAACCAATATATAGTTCAGGCTTTAGATAAGGTAACTCAAGACAGCTCTGCATCTGTTCAGTTGACCTGACTATTACTCTGTAAACCTTTACTATATAAACAGTGAAACCTAGCTAATGTTAACTGCCCTCTATTTAGCAGACCAGGGTTGGATTTCCTCGCTTGGAAAAACACTTCATGCTACACCAGTAAAGTCTTTGGGCAAGACTCCTGAGCCCATTTCACACCGCGCCACATGATTCCCCGCACTGCACCATGACCGATTCATGTGTTTACTATTATAATTTACTGATACAGAAAGAAAGATAAGACTGTTTCACAACATTGCATAGTAAAAAGGAGAACATACAAAATTAGAAACATAAACAAAGGAAACACCGCTTAGGAAGAACTGCACATGCATTAAAAAGTATGGGGAATTAAAATGCTGTAATGCAAAATACAAGACTGAGTAATCTCCAAAACGGTAACTTAACAGGAGAAGGAACAAACACACTTTTAATGTAAGTCAATGGGACCAGAATTTTTTGTCCAAATAATTTTGGGGCACTTCTTTTGGTCCATTCTTCATAAAATTTGCACACAATGTAAAGGGCAATATGAGTTTTCAAATTAGGTCAAAAATTGAAAAAGGACAAAAATGGAGATATGAGGTTTTGCTGTCTAAAGAAAACAAGTATTGATAAAATAGTAACTTTACAGGAGAGGGCAAAAATGTTCTTTACTTTCAGTGTAAGTTAATGGAAAGACATTTTCTTCTAAGCGATTTTGGAGCATTTCTATAGGTCCATTCATCGTGAAATTTGCACACAGTGTAAAGGACAGCTGCTGAGCTCAAATGATACAGAAAAGTAAAAATAGCAAAAAATGGAGATACACTTTTTTTTGACAGTGACGATATACATATATGTACATGTGTGCATATTACAGCATATATACAGTATGCATTTGTATAAAGATGTTTACTGTATATGGTAACATGCAGGTGGAATACTGTACTATGAATTGTTACAGTAAGTATACAGTATTACAGTACACCTGTTCTCTCTATGAAACGTTTCAATCACAGTTATTCTCCCAGCATTCAGGTGCACCCTTTGACCAACCTCGGCTATTGTAGAGCCATCATTGATAACATGGTCCATAATTTCAGGCCTCATTTCATCGGGAACGTGCCCATGTCTTTGGCCTTGTCTGTCCCTTCTTCTCCTGCCTCCTTACCCTTCCACCACACATCCTTACTTCTCTTCTTCTTTCTGACTGGTCATTTCCTTATCGCTCCTCCATTGTCAAAAAATTGCCAACTGAAGGTTTATGAGACATTTTTAGAAAACTGGTTGATGATTGGTTAATCTGAAGCTTCACACACTCCCCCTTCATCAGTGAAAGCCATGATTCTCCTGAGAACTACTCATCAGTTCAGGAGATATTTACCAATACAGGCTAATAGAACAACTGGTTCAGCACTTATGAATGTATTGACTTTTGCAATGAACTAAAGCATAGACTATTCAACAGAGAACAAGTATAATAAGTTTCGATTGACATGACAAAAGTAATTGATAATGTAGGAAACAGCAGACAGTTGTAGAAAATCATTTGCATGATTATGCCAATGTATTATATTTGTTCAAATGAATGAGAAATGGCTTTTATGATGTGCACGAGTGACTAGAGGATGTGGAGGCTGGACAAGTAATTTTCAGAAATTCAATTCTGAGTAATGCACCAGAGCGACTTAGGAAAACTGTAATCAATGTAGCCTTTTATACTGCCTGCATGTGGCACCATGTGTGAAGTGAAAAAATATCCCTTAGAACCTCCTGTGTTCTGTTGGCTTTTACAACAATTCTGCAAAATAAAGGAAAAAGTAAATCAAATAAGCTGTTTTAATATCAGCAATTCCTTCCACCAAAATGTAGCGTCCTTTTATGTTATGAATAGCATGGGGAAGTTAGTTTTATGTTGGACGTTCGCTGGAAATTCACCATTATCTCAAGTTCTCATTAAATATATATTAAAAAATGATCAATCCTACATTTTTCACTCAGAGAACAAATCACAACCATATATATTTCAGAAGATGTCCTTC